GGTATGTTGAAAGATCACATTCGGTCTGTGGGTTGCATTTTGTGGACATTAAAAAACAGATTATGTGACAAACGCTGCCTTCAAAACGAAGAGTGGGGTGCAAACCTTCTTCAACATCGAGCTATCTTAGAAATCACTGCTGTTTGTCCTTACTTGAACCCTAGTATCATCTTAGTACCTAAATTAATTGCTTACCTTATGTCCCTAGCCAAAACTCATGTTGGCCTAAAGTCATACAGTTGAACAACAGCATGAACCATGCACTCAGATAAGATCGATGAAAGCCGTCTGAATTGAATGATATTGTTCGTAACTGGTGAGTTCAACTGAATGAAAGATAGGCTAGAAAATGAGATAGCAAGGATATGGTCATGCCTGTCAGTTGTGTCGGAACAGTTGATAGCAAAAACCAGAAGTGACTAGGGCTTCTGGCATGCAACAGTTCATGTCTGATTACTACTGTAGTGATAGGTTAGTTTACATCAGCTGCAGATGCAATATCCTCTGGATTTCCTCCTATCAAACGTCCGCAGTATGCATATGAGAACTTCTGTTTTAGCTCGATTTATCTAGTTGGTTTCGATGGTGTGTGCTCTTTGATGGATGATCGTGGCCAATAGCACATTTTATAAAATCGTTTAGATTCTCAAAATTTTTAGTGTAACAACTGGTTTACGTATATCCGTCCTTTCAAAAGGAATCACTATGACTCATCTTGGTGGGTTGAATTCGAAACACTAAAATGGTAATAAAATAATAAATAACCGTTCAGCTGTGCTTGGCTACCATGCCTTCCTAAAGAGGCGTGGAGGATGAGAATCTATCAGGTCGATCAAACCTAGACAGAAGCAGTCGAGATGCCGAAGTTGGATTCGAACAGTGGACATTCTGATCGATGAGCTCGTGCCTTAACCACTGAGCTACATCCAATATTAAAGTGCTTTACTGTAGAATTTACTCTATAGTAAACAACACAACAGATATTTAACCACGCAGGATTTGTATATATGCCGGTTGTCAGGAGTGAGTAGCTGTTAGAGGTACAAAAAAACGGGTGTTATTTAACGGCGCCGAGCAAATCAAGACTCAGTGTGCCAGTAGTCATTATATGTTTGATGCGTCCTGGTAGACGTAATATTCCAATAAACGCCTAGAATATAACCCAGTGTGAAGCTCAATTCAGAGTGTTCTTGCGTACTCACTGTACAGAAACCCTGGGCGCATACAGAGGTTTTACCTGTTCTTTCAAGCGGCGCCTTCCACTCTACCTACAGCAGCGATGAACCATATTTCGGATGGATTCTTATTGTCGAGGATCAAAATTACCTGCCATTGGACCGAAAATCGGTCGGACTCTGCCACTGCCGATTACTAGATTAGTTCAGTGAACTGACCATTTAGTTCAGATCATCTAAAATTTCCTGTTCCAGAGCGACGTAAGCAGTCGTTAGTAGTAAAGTTCATTGAGACTGTACTGATTTGTCACCATAGGACTCCACTTTGCCTTCAGTGTTTGACAGCTTGTTCTGGTTGGTGTAAGTGACTGAACTTCAATCTGCCTGGCGTATCCCCAGTGTGCGTTTGCTCGCTACTGACAAAGGTTGATGGAATGTTTCCACCTAGCACTTTGTCTTATTTCTATGTTGCTTAAATGGACAAAGAAGAGCAATAATTTAGACTAGTACATCCGCTTTTCATCACAAATCAGTGCAATAGAGTGGTAAGGAAGTAGCGCGTAGTTATTCTGAGTTGTGGCCAGTCATACCTTGGATGAACACAAGCATCCTTCACCAGAGTTGAATACTCCGCAGTGGGTCCAAAACAAAAGTGATCGGTTCGACTGTGAAACTATTTTCAAATCAGCGTAAATCGTCCTGAGTAAACGGCCGGAAATCGCCTCGAAAGAGTGATCTGAATTTGTCCAGAATGGCGAGGCCGGGTGTTTTTATTTCATCTAGAGGCTACCTGCACTTAATTGCTGAAATGATACCAATGTTCGTGAAGTGTTCAATAATTTTGGATTCGCCCTGCAAGATTCTCCAGTGTACAATGATACGGGTCGTGATATAGCAAAATCACTGAGTTTTCCAGTCAGCCAAGTAAAAATACCGTCGTGGTTTTGAGTTCAGTTCTCGGTTTACTCTGCTAGTCAAAGCCCCCAAATGTGAACTTAAATAACTCTCCAGAGTACTCTGAGTGCAATCTACTAGATGGGAACTATTGAATTTTGTGATTTTGCGCCGGAAATCCAGGTAGTGCAACCAAATCTCCTATTCTGTAGATGAATTTTAATTTCCCATGGAATAACAGCGTTTCAGAAAGTCTGGTCAGGCAACGACGCTTGCGAGACACCTGAACGGCTGGCGAGCTTCAGTAGTATACAAATCATTGCATTTTTAGGCACTCCATGAAAACAACCTATGATAATTATTGAATAAATCAAGGACGGAATTGACTGAATTTGTATATGAATGAATGAAGACCGGTGCACACCGGTCGAAACAAATACTCATGGGCCAATAAAGACTGGGGCGCAAACGAAAGTTCAACTACATTCGTACACCGATTGAAAGGGCACTCACTTACTCCAACAAACATGAAATTCGGTGCTCATTTGGACTATGATCCTGCTAGACAGCAAGAATATTTGACTGACGATCGTCTCAGCACCGCACACTACATCATTTGCTGCCATCGATAGCCTAAAAAACCTGAGTTACAGGGTGGTTTTATGGGTATCGCTAAGTACATGTCACAAAAGCGCACAAGATAGTAGACTGCGAATCGCATACACAACTTGAAGGGACATCATTTTATATTCGCATCTGCGGCCTACTTCAATGTACAGAAACTGTACCTATTTTAGAGGATATTTGAGATGGATTTGCACGATTGGCTCAAATTCGGTACAAATGTACGTGATATCCAATTCCATTCACGCTGACGTTGTAAACCTTACTAGGTATGGATAATTTCCTAATCAAGATTACTTCATACTCAAGTTAGTCGAGTTCAACCTTCCTGTCTGATCGTTAGATTACTTCGGTGATTCAGCACTATGTACACCTGCCAATCGTACAGTTTTAATACAGTTTTAGGCTCGTACAGTGATTTCAGCACGGTACACTTTTCACGTTCATGTTGCTGCCACCGTAGTCAATTGATCGGTTTCCTGTCTTTATTATATATGTCTCACTGCTTGACTTAGATTGTACATGCTTTCTTGTATTGTTCTGCCTGAGCTAGCCTCGTATTGAACAGTTTGTCAGTAGGCTTCTACTTCATGAAAAACGCGTGAGTAAAACTTCACCGAACTTAGGTGTCCAGTCAATGGGGCTGTACAGCGCTGTCCGCAATGAAGACGTCAGATGTCTCGGCACTACTCAAGAGCAATTTCTGTACATGAGCTTACCATCCAAAAGCAACTCCCCCATGAATTTACAACAGGGCGGCTAAGGGAGATCGGAACACCTAGTTGGTTCGCTGAGTTATCCGCGCTTTGAATGAAAAACACCTCATTAAGAGGTGTTTTATCAATCATATACTGTTGCATTGCCTCATATCTTGGTCGTACCAACAGGCGTCAATTGGGTGGAGTTCGCAAGCACCACCAGGGCTGCAAAATGAGTGGGACAAACACGTCTTGTTCATTACAACTGTAATTCGAATGGACAAAGTACGTTTCAATTTGTCTGCTAGCCGACCAAGAATGATTACAGTCTGAGTATTAATGATTTCCACGGGTGGTCTGTGTTAGACGACTCTGTCACACAATTCGTTGGAAATCTAGTCGGTCAGCAAGTAGTAACATTTATTATGCCTAATTTACAATTTGTCCGCGGGTTACTATCTAATTGTTTGGTCTCATGAAAAATACCATGTTTAATAGAGGAAAATAGCTGCAACAATGAGCAGTTCGGTGCGACTTCTTCGGTTACCCTCATTGCGGGAATGGTTTATTCTTAGGGTAAACTAGACTACCTACAATGAAGACAACTAGAAGATAAAGCGCACTCCATCAACTAACTCTTCTCGCGTTCTGTACACTTTCTGAAGAAGTGACAGGTTTGTATATATTTCCCTCAGATTGGTAACGAACTAGCGCCCCGGTTTTGATACATACTTGTAAGGATCGGTCCAAACACGCACATCTAATTCTGTTCCGCAGTTAATTGACGTGCTGCATGTGGATTTCTTAGTGTCATCACTCCAATTACCTGTTTCGGGGCTAAGTTAACTAACTGACGAAGTTACTTTAACTCTGTGGCCCACCACGCCTATACGATGCAGAAAAAGTTTTCAGCAACTTATGAGCAACGTTAAGTCCAGGAAACTAATGCAATATCTCAACTGTCGCATCAACTGAAGCATAAGAGGTTTTATGAAGAAAATTCAGTTGAAGAACACCATAAGTGAAAGGTTCAGCTGGGTCGCCCGTAAGAGTAAAACAAGCGTGCAAATGAATATTTAGCGAGAGTACTTTAAAGTTATCTTTGACCCATGGTATCATCAAGGCACGTACGTGCATGCCTGACACAAAAGTAGTTAGTGTCAATTATACATCTGGAAGATAAGATAGACAGAGATGTGTAGCGCCTCAGGTTAATGCGTCCCGCCAGATAGGCCACATGTCTGTCCCCTCTGACTGGTTCATCACGTTTTCTGCGTGGTTGATTGATAAAGTTTCGGTCAAAAGCCGTTACAAGTGGCTGCGGAAATCGTGTTTCAGTATTACGGGCAGGTCCAACTTCCCTCGATGTTCAGTAACTGTATGCCCACATGGTAAATTGGATGCCATTCGCTTGATAAAGGGCCTTTCAGAGTTGAAAGGTTGAAATTAACCTTACTTCTAGTTTATCCGAACCGCTAAGCCTTAACCAAATACGCTTTCCCGATATGAGTCAATGCAACACCCCACATCTTCACAGAATCGGTCAAACTATGGATAGGAAATCTTATCAGTGTTTTCAATTATTTCAGCCTTCCTGCACGTTGCCTCGATGTGCGCTGCACGATCGGGTGATACCTCATCATCGGGGAACAAACCGCGAACTATTGTCTGTTACATATGCGGCCGTGAATTCGGAACTCACTCTATCGGAATCCACGAGAAGCAGTGTTTGACAAAATGGAAAATACAGAACGACCAACTACCCAAAGCGATGCGTCGCCCTGAACCAAAAAAACTAGATCGTTCCAACATGAGTCTGGAAAGTTCGAACGAACTGGCCTTGCAAATGTCCAAGGAACAATTGGTTCCTTGTCCAGTGTGTAGCCGACGCTTTCTTCCAGACAGACTAGAAGTACACTTCAGGTCATGTGGGAAGGGTAAACAAATGGACGCACCTTATTCGACCCCATCCGAACCCCCAAAACCAAAAACAGTGATATGCTATATTTGTGGCCGAGAATACGGTACGAAATCTATCAGTATTCACGAACCGCAATGCCTTGAAAAGTGGCACCGACAAAATGAGTTGTTACCAAAGCACATGCGACAAAAAACTCCAGAGAAACCAAAGGAACTGCTAACAACTGGAGCGGGAACTTACGACTTAAAAAGCTACAATGAAACTGCCTGGGAAGCAGCGCGATCTAATCTCGCCCCTTGCAGCAACTGTGGCCGTAGATTTAATCCTGACCGATTACCAGTTCACGAACGTATTTGCAAGAAGCTGAAGTAATCGAGGACATTTGCTCTCTTTCAAGCTTATTATTCCATAACTTTATTTTGTAATTTGGCGCCAATGTTCCCATCCCCAACTAGAGTTTTCTTTATACGCTTCTTATCCGCTACTTTGCCAACTTAATGAATTACATGCAATCATCAAGTCAGTCATACAGTTACACCGTTTTTTGAACTTAGTTTTACTTCTTTTAAAACAGTCGAACGGAAACCGATATAGTAAACCCGGCGGTCAACAAAGCTTTGAAAAATCGTCTACACAAAAGAAAAAACCTGATAATTTGATAACACACTTGGCAGAACTTCACAAGTGAGCAACCAGAGAAAATCGGATCCTAATTTATTCAGCTCAACATATACGCGCAGCATTAAAATGACGGTGTCGACAGCAATGGTAGGTCCAGAAGGTTGGGCGTCCAGTCATATGAGGGGATATGAATTCCAATGTTGGACAGTATAGGGTATAGAAGTTCCGGGGGACGTTTAGTGACTACCCGGTGCATGGAGAAAACGTGTCGGATGGTTGTCAAAGCGGAATTACGCTTCACCTCTATGGACAGCCACCTCAGTGTTGAGAAGTGCTAGTAACAACCCTCTATTAAATTTCGGACATAAACTCAAATAAATCCTGCAAAGCACTAAATAGTTTGACAGTTTCCGGTCTTCGGTCAGTGAAATAATAACTGCAACGGAGTTCATGACAAACTGTCCACTGACAGATGTGTTGGCGTTCCTGTGATCCCACCATGGAGCGAAACTAGTTCAGGAGTCGAGCCTCAGCAGGGTTAGTGGTAATTGAAATTGACAATTAAGTAATCCCTCATGCATGGTGTAACCTTAATGCAGCGAAGCACTTGACAGCCCACTGACAGTGCTGGATTTATGCACCAATTTACCAGCTCGCGCGTGCAATGCGCAGCTACCTACCCCCCCCCCAATCATCGGTGAACGAAACTGTGGCAGCTACAACCAGTGTACGACGAATACGCGGTTCTTACAGCTGACAATGATGATGATGATGAGCGAAGCATCAGTGTTTGAACACTGATGATCTGTCGATGATAATGATAGAAAAATGATTAAACGCTCAGTGGCGAGTATTTTTATTATTGAGTGCGACATAGAAACATAAGAAGACGGACGTGATGTATGAAGTAAATGTTTTCCAATTTTTTTTCCCATAAACAGCCCGATTATACCTCATTCCTTTCAATCACGCCTTCACTTTCCAGAGCGCGCCCAGTCCAGAAGTACCACCCAGTATAACAACTAGCCAAATTCAACTCCCTTTGTGACGCTGGATTCTCCAGGTCGATTAGTCGCTTTCTTTTTAAAACCACTCCGATGTTATCGGCACCCACAAATTGCTTAAAAACACAACTTTCGTTGACAAGCCAAACCAAACTGGGTCAGACATCTATGTGATCGCATGGCGGACTGAACGTGACCTAGATGGTGAACATAATTTATGATCTTATATTGTGTCCCCAGGCTCCCTTTGTGTGGAACGAACCCGAGTACAAACAGCTTTCTAATAGCTTTAAAACAGCGCTTAATCAATGTAATGGTTAAGCAGTCGCAGCACGTACAACGCATGCATAGTTTACGGGGATCAATTCAAACGTCGTCAGATTCTGAGCGAGACCAGTTTTGTTTCGCACTTGTTGAAAACCTTATGGCGAGAAATTATCTACCGTGTCTTGGACTTTAGAAAGAGGACTCTGCACACTATGTGCCCAAGACTTTGAAAATGGAGGTAAATATCACAGGCAGAGTTGATGAGAAGTAAGAATTTCGACGCTTGGCCCGAAGTGCATCAACCTGGCTCGTGAAGGCAACATTTTCTTTCTACCGACCAAGCTTTTAGTCACACAAATTCGTCCTCACAGAATAAGCGGTCTCAGGGTCAATAAATCAACCACCTATGAAACATGTACCATATGTACAATGGTTCCAGGTGCTGCAGTTTCGATCACTCGAAAATGGGACACTTTGGGATATACAGCCAAGCCTTGGAATGGATGGCTAGTTCCAGAACTGAGAAGCTACGCATTGAAGGCGATAGGTTTGATGCACGCGATTAAGCTATTTATGCCAGTGTCATTAGACATCTGTCAGTTGAGTTCCGGGGCCCCAATCCAAGGAGGCGGCAGGTGTCGACCTGACTAAGTTTGCTGGTTAGGGTTTTCATACTTCGCTGCCAGGTTATACACTGTCACTTTCGTTCAGAACAGGGTCGCGCAAAAAGAGCTCTGCGAGGCAGATGGTACTCTGGCATGCGGAGTACATGACCTAACCAGCGTAGCCTATGAAGAATGAGTCATTCATCTATCGCAGGAGAGTTTCTGCTTCCTAAGACCATCCGGCGTATCCTAGCATTATTAAACCGACACCAGATCCGACCAATGCTTCAGATACAACTGTAGTCAGACAATGACATCTTCCGCGTGTCCTATGCGTGTAGAGACCACGTCTCTGACTCATAACGCAGTATGGATCGCACCACCGCATCGCAAAATCCTCCCTTGACGGACAAACTGACGACACGTCGGCGCCATAGGTGTGGGAGTTTGGTAGAAGCTGTCCTGACATTTCCGATTCGAGCCAGTCCACCGGAACTTATACAGCTTGCCAGATAAACCACATCGATTAGCCCGTCTGCAGGCATGAGCTTTGGGTTTGATCCCACCCAATCTTATAGCAGCAGGTGCGAAACGCATGTCAAACCGTACGGCAGAGTTATTCAGGTTATTTAAAATGGTTTGTATTCGGAAAGGATCTGAATCAAGGAGGGCAATATCGTCCGCATACTCAATGTCTGTGAGGGGAAGTCCCGGAAGCATTTCGACTCCCGAGGTGTCGGAGGCAGGCAGAGGGATTTCATACACCGTGTCATTAACAAAGTTGAAGACCAAAGGTGAGAGGGCAGCCTTATGTTACACCACTGGACGTGGCGAACTCGGGCGAAAGTTCGCCGTGTAATCGTACGCGTCCACAGGAGTTCGCATAGTGTCCGCATAAGGGATATAAATCTGGAAGGGACACGTTTGATCGACAGTTACCTCCAAAGTTCTTCACGATCAACAGCGTCTAAAGCAGACTTCAGATAAAGAGAAACAACCAACGTGGGACGTTGGAAGCAGTGGTGTAGTTTAACAATTTGTTTCAATGTACAGATATGGTTGATGTATCTGCGGTCAGGGCGAAACCCACCTTGATTCTCACTAATCCGTCTCTCGATAATCGATCAACCTACTCAAGGTAATACCAGAGGACGCCTTAGGTGCGACGGACACCAGGCCGGTACCACGATAGTTTTCGCATGACGTTCTTGCGCTCTTTGGAAATTGGGATGACGGTCGAGGAGCTCTACTCAGATGATACTCTGTTTTCGTTCCAAATCTCCTGCAGTATGGATGTTAGACTGTTTACCAGGACCAAGCATAGAGGAGTGTTCGTGGGGATGCAGTCCAGTAAGGCACTTTTAGCCCTGCGGCTGATGCAACCCCCACAGCGTAGATACCACGAGCCATTCTGTCAGGATCACGGGATACCCGAACAGTGAAATGTGCAAGATCTGAACTCATCCTAAGCGGATTGAAGTGCACGACCGAAGTGGGGGTAGTGTATGCCTGTTACGGAGACAAAACATTCATCGACAGGTAGGGAAAGCAAGGTTTCAGGAAGCGAACCTGTTGCCCAATTCGATGTAGAGTAGGGACATTAAAGGCTGCAATGTAGACTAGATCTTTTGAGGTTGGTGATTATTTAGGTTTATTTTTTTCTAGGCGAAGATCTAGACACGGAATAGTAGTTGACTTGATGAGGGGTGAGGGAGAAGGTCGGTGAGTAAAGCGCCGCAAGAGCAAATGACACTTACCAGTTGCCCAAGCCGAAGAAGGGATTTTGGTTGAGCAGCACCATAATCTTTGGTTTTAAAAGTGTTTTGACCGTATTGAATAATGCACCGGAGAGAAACGGGAGAAACGCCGTACTGCCTTCACAGTCCTGTCGCAGAGGGCAGTATGACTACCTTCAGATCACTTCGTAATACGATTACACGGAGTACGGGGACTAGCTGTTCTTTGTCGGGTTCTCCCGCTGTCCTTCCTGGCATTGCTTAACCTTTAGGAACTGGGTTTCAGCCAGTATAGCTCACAGGACCATTGCAACACAGAAGCTCGACCACCACTACAACGTGACAGCTGTAGGTCGGGCGCCATCAGAATTCGGCAAACTCATGAAAGGACAGAACAATGCTCGATCGGCCAAATGGGTAAGGGGGGACTGAAGAGATCGGAGTGACGTTTGGATAACACGGGAAGCTCCGGGATGATCCGAATCACGTTCAACTGAATCAACGACCACTGTATTGCATTGCAGAGCTGTCGCACAGTACTCTTCTCTGATGACACTGGTTGGCTCTAGCCCACTTATTAAACTAGTTCAACCGCCAATTAAACCTCTCGCTTCGAGTATGTACACGTTAAAATGCCTATCCCCCCCTAGCCTTTCCAGTTCTCTCATTTACTGATTTAATTAAGCAGCGGCATTTCGAAAGCCTACACCACCGTGTACGTCGAAGCACTGAAGCACCACTGATTGCGAAATTTCATAAACTTTTTATAGCGGTTATGGTAACAGCTTCTCTCCGCAGGTTACTGCACTCGCTTTTCCATTAAAACTTGAAAACAAAATCCAGGAAACAATGCTGTATTTCAGATTACTACAAAACTAGTTACAGCGTTCATGGTCAACCTTCAATGAAAGCGCTACACAAAGAGGGAGGGGATAACACTTATCCTTAATCAAGATAATACGGTTGAAACTGACACTGCCTCGGTAGTTACAGGTAAGGACTCAATAGGCATATGGGGCGCAACTGGGATGGGGTTCACCTCAGCAGGTTTAAGCGGGATAGGACTGGAGGGTACACGGTAACCATAATTGTGGACATCCAAGGAATTGAGCCAATCGATCATACTGAACCAACGGTTAAGGAAGTGGTTTTTGGTAGGGGAACGAAGATACACCAATTTTTTTCAGCCCGGTTAAGTTCACATAGGTAATGTAATTCTTGAATATAAGTGGTACTGCGACAAAGTGTAAACAACACATGATCCGAACAGAAATCTGGAATTTTTTTCAGCTCACAGTTATCATACAACCTGAGGTAAGTACAAGGCCTGTGATATGACAAAGTTAATCAAACAAATGGTGAAAAATGCGAAGAGTGGATCAGAGCAGATACAGAATGTCGGGTTGTAGGCTAACACAAAAACCATGAATTATCTCCACTTCCCAAGCGTACTATAATTAAGCACACCAAAGAAAGCTCGCGATTAAATAAATAACCACCATTGTTAACCTTTGCTTTGAAATAAAAGGATACGATCGTTCTTCGATTTCTTTCTCGTGGATATGTTTGTAAATATAATTCAGTTTGAATTCATCCATTTGTTTCTGGAAATAAAAGAAGCCCCAACCGAAGACTTGGTTTAAATAAGGTGATAAAATCAAGTGGAGTTCGCGTGTAGATGTGAATCGTGCATACAAATGGCTGATAAGAATAAAGTCAATATAGAATGTATGCCCTCTTAGACTGCGGTTGATCGTTCGGTGGCGCTGAAAAATGCGCTCAGCGAGGTAGAAGCTCCGGAAGTGAGATCGAGCTCATTCACGACCACAAGTTGTGACAGGATGGTATGCTTATCTAAACAGGTCTACGGGATTGCATAGCAGAGCCAGAGATGAACCACTTCTATTTACTTCTGTTGTCGCAGTTTCCACATACTCTACAACTGCTACCTTCTGTTCACTTTCCGCTCTTATTCCCTCAGGTTTAAACTGGGTACACAGAGTTCAGATGGATGTGAATGCACCTCAGCACACACTTTAAGTGGCATTACCGACTGTGCGCAGGTGTCCACCAGAGTATTTCGATTCGATAGGCCATTACGGGACTGGATGCCAGTCAGCCATAACTGAAGGTAGTACATTCGTAGTGTCTAAAATATAAGGTGACTTTTCCTTACTGTTCAATACTTCGAAATTGACCACATTGTTTACTGCAGCTGCATTACGCTTATACGTATCTGAATAGCGAAATACGCTTAATTGGGCTTACATTATTTCACTTAAGGTGCTTTTTAATTTGGCTGCTAAATTACTTCTATAGACCGGTAAACTTCTTTAAATTTCCGGGGTTAGCAGCTCATGTCGGATGTATTCATCTAAGACAATCTGTTGGTTATTACAGAATAATGCATCCTACTTTATGCAACCACTCATCCCAAAAATAGGTCCCAGATCATTCGCACACTTATCATCATCAGCTATAAGAACCGCGTATTTGACGTACAGTGGTTGCAACTACCGCAGTTTCATTCACCGATGATTTGGGGAGGTGGGGTAGATAGCTGCGCATTGGACGCGGGAGTTAATAAATTGGGGCGCAAATACAGGGCTGGAAGTGGATATTTAAGTGGGGAGAGTGGGAAGGGAGCTGTGCATTGAAAGCGATAGCTTGGATTCATGGTCGCCATTGAGAGCGTGATTGGGCCATGTCTAACAGTGTATCCAACCATTGATGTGTCCCGTCTTAGGGTCCCCATCCAGGCAGACGACAATGACCAGCGCAACCGAGTGTGCTGGTAATGGCTTTCACACTTCACTGCCAAGTCTTTGTTTGACCTCCTCTGCCTCGTTTCAACCCTTCACGGGGTTCTGCAAAAGGAGTTCTTCGAGGATGTCGGTTGACTGGCATACGGAGCTCACGGCCAAGCCGGCGCAACTTGTGGATTGTGATCAGTCCATCAGTCGAGTTTTCTCTTCCGAATACTATTCGACGTAACTAGTGTTCCCACCAGACTCGGGCAATGCTCCGAAGACATCGATGTCGAAAACTGAAAGTCTTTTGACGTCCTTGGCGCGCAGCGTCAGGTTTCTGATCCGTACAGTGGTATAAAGCGCACCGCAGCCTTGTAAACTCTAGCCTTGACGAATACGCTGATGTTACACCTACTGCACAGATGAGGCAGGCTTACAAAAGCTGGCCTTCCCCATCATCTTTCGCGGTAAAACCGGGACTAACACAGCGGTCCACTTTTGTGAAAAACTGTCTAGCTTCGCATTATCTGTACCCGCAATAACTGAATCAGGTTTTTCTCACCTATACTGCAAACAATCGACTAAGAGTGCTGATTCTTTGCACCCTAGATATGGTAATCATTTGACAGGAAAACCTACGAGAGATTCCTGTTCCACACTTTGCTTAGGCTTAATTGAGCCGCATAACTGAAGCATCCTGGACTTTGCTACACCGACTAGTTTATTGCATACCGGCCTTTAGACGAAACAGTTGGGATTCCAGAATCAGCGCTATCTGAGCGCCTATGAGCAGAAGGCTAAAATCTATACAGTCATTGAACACCAACTCTAATAAGAATTAGACAAAACAGTGCCACGCGGCGTGTGGAGCGAACGATTTGAGTGAAAAACAATTCAATGTTTCGTGTGTAGTTTGCAATCCTTTTTACAACTGAACACGACCCCAGTATAAACAGGTCTACGTTGGTCATTTTGTATTCTAGCCAAGCGACATGCATGAAGCGATACAGCCGAAATAATACCAGATTTAAAGGGGTGAATGCACGGAAAATAGTTCCATCAGAGGTAAACCCAAACCGTCCACGTTATGGAGCACTCAGACATCAATCATTTAACTATGTAGAGCTTCACTAACACAACCGACCACTAATAACAGATGTCATTGCTGAAAATGCTGAATAATGGAGTAAACACAACAGATGTTTGGATAGCTGTTTTGGACCATTTGAGCCTTTTCGGGAGTAATATACGAAAAGTGACTGTATTATGGTGCATACAAACAGATACAATAGAGTAGTTATAATGAATAACCTGCTCGTGGAATGTATTGGTAGCTTTGTTATCAGCCAGAAAGAGACCATACAGTGGCTACTGGAAAGACACATCCGTACCAGCGACTTGGCTACGAAAGAGTGAACACAGCTGAGCTCAGCACTAGACGATTATTCTGCGCCAGTCGAAATAACTTGGGTTAGTTCAGTTCATCAAACCGTCTTATGTTGTTTTCGGGTCCTTCGCCTGTCCCGGGACGTACTACTTACCAAAACCACTAAGTAGTTCATGAAAACCAAGATGTGACGTTTGGCGTGATGCTTGTAGAGTAAATCGGGGGGTTATTACAAATATCTGCTTAACACTGAGCTATGATCGGCCAACTTGCACAAACTAATCGGCTGTCTTGACTGAAAGCAGGAATTGCTGATACTCAATCCAAACCAATAATCAAAAGAAAAACTCATCCGAATACTGGAACAGTATTTCCACCATGACACACCTCGTATTTGGACCAAACAATGGGGTCATGAAAACCATCTTCTCCGAATCTTGCATTGTACCTATCGTAGTTGACTTCGCTGAGCATCAGACCGAGACCTGGAGCCTTGGGGATATCGACCTAGGGGAAGCGAGATAAACGGGGAAATTTTGAATGGGACGTTAGATATACTGTATGCAGACACGAGAATTGAGTTGCGTGGCAGTACAATAGCTGGCCATGAAGTTTACAGAAAACACTGGAATTTACGTGTGGCTAAGTTCTTCAGGCTTGGATGATAGCATTGTATAAGGCCCCTTTTTAAATACCCGTGCTGTGTCAAGCTCAATGATTGGGATCGCTGGTAAATATACTTCAAGACTGACGAGGAAGAAAGAAAGCAACCTGGAGTACCGTATGCGAAAGTTCAACCTCTTGGATAGAAGCACTGAGTGCTAATCAGGTAAACGTGTTCCGGACTAGAAGTAGACGACTGGAAGGAACAAACATCCAACTTGGATAAACTGCTGTTACCAACAATGTCACCGATAAAAACTGCCATTCAGCAGCGCAATTCTAAAGCTGCATGGATGCTAATGAACCGAAAGGAAGCATTAGGCTGTTCAAGTTGGAAAAATAGTCCCCCTCCATTGGGGAAATTACCTCAGAAACCATAAAAAAAATTTCCACCGTAAGGTATTTTTCCTAAGCAGAGCGTCCATTACATAGTGTAAATGGGCATTTAAAACTGTCGGAAATCAACAGATCAAACAGAAGCACACTCGGGGGTGGAATACTTTACTGGTCTGTTTAAACTGACCTAAGGAACAGAATCAAGTAGGAAAACCAACTAGGGCTGTCTTGCCACCATCCACACATTTAGCATCTCACGGAGAACAGAGGCCTCGTAAGTTTGACGAGTACGAATCACAGAGGGTCCTGCTTACCTTTTAGCATGATGGCTGACTGAATGGGTGGGCTGCGTATGATAATGTTTAGTTGATGGAAAGTACTTTTTATTGCACACATGTGCGAATTACCACCTGTGAGACCTGGCGCCTCCGAAAATCAGAGACTCCGAGCATTTGACGACTGATGCTGACGGTTAACATGGGAAGTACGCTGGAAGGTATGCCAAGCAGCTTGTAGATGTCGACGTCTGACAGACAACAGCGACAAGTCCTGGCTGATTTTTCATTACCTTTACCGACTGCTAGGACTTGTCGCTGTTGAATGTCAGACCTCGACATTTAGTCATTTGATGTGGACCGCAGATTCGATGGAGATAGTGGCGAGTCCTTCTTTTGTGATCGGCAATTCAATATTCGATGTGATGGCTACCCTGGGTGCAACACATCGCTGTATTTTCCTCCACAGACTACTGGACGCAAGGCCGACGCATCTCATTTAAGGCTGACATACTGAACATCATTTTCCGGGGCAAATCGGTCACAGCATTGTATAATGGTAATAAAGAGCAGCTAGGTAGATGACTGGCTATTGAAAAAAGTGAGTTTGGAGGGATGACCAGAGTGGGATACTTCGAGGTTTTCGCAACCCCGGAAGGCTGTCAGAATGGCTTGCTCATAAGGGCTAGTGCAAATGGGAAGGTGTGTGAAATTTAACCGGTAGCCTCTTGGTTAATGGTTCACCTGAGTCATCTTTAGTTCAAATACACCATCCGTAAGAACTACCGAGCGCTCGGTGCCCAAACCGGTTGGCAAATCCACCTTCTCACCCCCTCCCAACCCCAAACTCACTCGTTTCGTGCCAAAAACGCAGTCAAACACATCCTCCGTAGTATTTCCACGAACTATTGCAATCATCAGGCCAATCATTTTTCGGATCTGATGAAGCATGAACGATTGTCCAACAACTCGTATAACGCAATATTCACAATCTTCATAAAGAAATGGCGGTAGGCATTCGACTGATATGATGTATCTGTTACAGCTACTATCTGTGGGGAGTCTGAAATAATGGGAACACAAAATACGAGCATTCATGAAATTAGTGACAGTGCGCCAACAGAGAGAAAATAAACATAAAACTGGAAACGGGGATAACAAATGTGCCCAGTATCACCATAAAGACGTTGGTTCGCAGGCCGGAGGAACGCTGTAAGCTTTCCCCCCACAATTCAGTATTCATTTTCATCAGGGGGTAGCACAAACTGGAAGAGTAGACGAACTGTTGCTGTAAAATGCTTAGAAAAACCAGTTACCCTGAAGGAACACACTGCTCGTATCCTTTAGGCCATTGCAACGCGCTGTTCAATGCCTCAGGATCGCTGACAATTGATCTTAACAGAAAATAGCCGACGACACAACAGCCAGAAACTGGGGAAGCAATTGCACTCGAATTCAGTAAAATTGCTGTCCCATTCTCCTGGGAAATTTTCACAAGGCCGGACCGTTGACACAATACGACGTCCGAGTGTGGGTAGCCAGGTGGACTACGAGTGTTTGTCAGTCACAACACTGGTGAAGGCGGACTTTCTTCGGTGCTCACGAAATATGAACCAGGCTTTCACTGCAAACTCACTGCTCATTGAAACCGCTATAAATCTTTCTTGTTTTACTGTTTTCTATCAACATTAGTTATCTATAAGGACAGCATGGCAGAGTAGATTGCAGGAAAAAATCGTGGTTTTGCAGAGGCAGAAGCTCTTAGAAGAATGGTGTGGCCGATAGATGACACTAAATCTCAAAGCTTCAACACTGCTTAAACTAATAGTAATAGGGTGACAGCCAACCACTGGGCTGAATTGCTGCGCAGCGGTCATACGAGCGATGAAAAGGAGACCAGTGATTATTGAATCTAACTTGACATCACGACGATTCCCCCATTCATTTCCTTACACCGCCCATGTACTTTTGCTATCAACGTGTTTTGCCTATGCGTAACCACTACTAACCTCGCAGCAGCCCCGTCCGAAATTCGCATTCAGCGTGTGCGCAGCTGACCAAATTACCCAAGCGTGTTCGTGCCCCGTCTGTTGAATCTGTAATGACTAGTTCTGCAGTGATTTTTCGTGTCATCGCACTATCAACGCAAATAACGAGACGCCTTCGAAGGAACGAGCGCAACCAGCAATAGCGAGCCAAGTTCTTCCATTGGATATTCGGGATCATCAAACCTACGTGAAGCGGGAACCTCAGCAGTACTCAATTCTATTCGTGAGATTGGATTGATAATCCGATGGTTTCTAGAACCAGTAATGTCCTTAGCCGAACGGATTTCATAAGCGAGCATAACGAAGTCTGGGCTTTTAGTGCCCTGAGAAAAAAAAACATCTAGAACGTCACTGAAACAGTCCGTCGATGGGTCACGGCAACAGTCCATTGGAGCGTACACAAATACAGTAAACAAAGGAAGGGATGGACCTACGTTTTCCGAAGGGCTTTCGCAGAGGCCGAGAGATTACTCTAGTCGATTGCAAAAAAGACCTATCCCGACAAAACCAACGCAGCAGGCTTTATGTCATCAGAGGTGCGCATCCGGAATCGAAAAGACGTCGACGGGTCAGCCGGTTCAGTTACAATACTTGAGTGCTGGATTCTTGTTTCTGAGACAACATACATTCATGTACGGGGAATCCAGCGTAGGAACGAGCATAGTTTGTAGCCGTGTCTTTTTCAGAGTTCGAAAATTAAAGGCAGCTAGGTTCACCAATTTTCGGGCTTTGAAAAGTGATTTCGATGTCTTTGAGGGTATTGTTGCAGATGCTGCTGCTAGGGGTGATGCATGTCGTCAATCCTAGGTCATAGCCCACTCACAATTGGATCTCATGGGAGGGGGGTAGGTGCAAGTGGAGGGTGAGCGCTAATATCAGTCTACTCCCACCTATTTGCCCTGCTGTATGAAGCAAGTAAAGCAACCCGACTGGTGGCACCAAGCGACGGCCGATGTGGCATGTGAGGGTGTTGCAAAGTTCACGGTTGTATGTGGACTGAGATACCGTCAACGCATCCGAACCTACACAGCAGAGCGATTAGGGCTTCTAGCCAGAAGGTCTGACTCAAAATCCTGACCGCAAGTTATCATCATAAGAGGCGAGTCGCACATGTTTTTGCCTCACAATCTATGGGTCCAGGAGACTGCTTTTCGGGTCACTATCTATTAACCAGACTGATAGAAAATCGGTGGGTGGTAAAGCGAAAACCCCAGTATGGTTCCACAGGCCATGAAGGTACACAAACCTTCTCACCGCGGTAAGATTCCGCATTCCCGGAAAAAGGGACATACGCCACGCTAATGATTGTCGGTACAAATCGACCACCTTAAGGGAGTGGGTAGGGTCGGAAATTTTTACCGGTAAAAAAACTAGCCACAATCAGTCCACACAAACTGTCGAAAGAGATTCGATAGATAAACTCTCGTGAATACACGATACGAAATCGAACGATGTGATTACCTTCCGTCAACTTATTCAAGTAAATAATGACAAACTAGGGTCAATCATCCATTTAGTCACTACAATGAAAAAAGAATGGGCCCTTAGTTGCTATTCAACTGCACAGTGCACTACTATACAAGAAACAGTGACGGAATGCCTAACCAGTAGTTTGTTACTCAAGTCCAAACATACGAATCAGCTCTCTGCCTCAACCAGTAATGCTTCCGCTGTAATTTTCTGGTTCCCAGTAGCTATCTTCTAAAAGATGTAGACGAGATGTCATCATCATCGACAACATAACATCAGTGTCAACATTGATGCTCCACTGCAGTACAACCATCACTGATTGGAAAGATTTATCGTCAAGAAAAGAATAAAAATGAAATACGATTGTTTAAGAAGGGCTTGGTAACAATCAGTAGTTTTTTATTTGGGCGACGTTTCGTTTTTGATACAAAAGCTTCATCAGGCCAAGTGGGCAGGTCACCAAATTGGACAGCAGACGAGCAACTAGTCAGTAAGTCCTCTTCCGATAATCACACTAGATCGACGTTGCGTCAATTAGCGGCTTTTATCGATTAGTGTGGTTGTCAAATTCTTGCGTTGGCGAATTGGGGGAGTTTCAAACTTATTCTGGTCGGGTGTGGTTCCTTCATCTTCCACTTCAATGTGCTTCAATTGATGATTCACCGCGGTTGCCGCTGATAGATTTCGTTGGTCTTTATGAGGTTGTGAGTGCTGCGACAATTTAGTTGGGGGGAGGTGAAGTCAAGTGGAATTCAGATGATGACTCCTTCTGATGACCGTACACCAGCACGCGTCAGCTGGCCTGATCCAAAACCGTTCTCCACACGCTTGCCAGTTCCACACCTACCCTATTAATACTAGGATGCTTGGCTATTTCCACCACCTCGGCCATCAGTCTCTGTGACGTGGACCGTAGTCCTCACTTCAAAACCTCAACATTTCCCACATCTATTTTGTGTCCCGTGCCCAGTGCATGTTCTATAATTGACGAATCTTCTAGTAACGCTGATTTTTCATTTACGTTTCGCAGCGGTCTGTTTATTTTCCTCTTATGCTCTCCGATTCTGGTGTGAAGTCCCCCAAACCATTATTTACTTAAAAGATTTATTTTAAAGAATAAACGTGGAATAGGACTGGAGTTGGTGCTAGTCTACCACAATCATTCCGAGGTGCATACCCCCTCCCAAACACTCATTCAGGTGAGCTGCATACAAACTGACACCATAAATGCCAATGATATCAATTAGTGGTCATATATTGTAGCACCTCAAACCAGGCGCAGTGGATTACGTGGTCCCCATTCTGGAAGGCGAGTCGCACCTACAGAACCCAGTTTTCGAAATGTCCGCTATACAGGTTTGCCAGGTCAAAAGTTGCCCACTTCTCTGCTTCCACTCTGAATTGGCAATGGAAAACAGTAAAATTTTCGACAAACGATAGTTCAACATGCACAGTACATAACCAACGCAGTTTCTGGTGTTGGATACATTCTCCGATGTAAGTCTTCCTTGCATAACCGAACACTCGTTTCCTGATTACCTCGTCGCCGATTAACCGAAACCAGCCCACACGAGCTTGGTTCTGAGAAAACCTGAAAATGTATCAATTCTGTTGCTCGCCGAGGCCACGTCTCTGCCACACAACAAAACGGCCCTGCCAGTAGACTGGTACACACGTACCTTGAGATTCAGGTATACATCATTTTGACGCCAGAGGTTTCTCAGATTAGCCAACGGGACCCGCACCTTGCGGACTCGTGTATTGACCTCACCCACCACACCGCAATCGGGACTACGGGAACTTATGTAAAACGTTCCACAAATTCGTGTACCTCTTCCTGAATTGTGAGCGAAGCGTTCGGTGGCTGCATGCTTAAAAGCATGAATTTACACTTTGTGGGTGCAAAGCGCACGCAGAGGGACGGGATGGCTTAGTTAATTCTAGAACACTGTCTTCTCCTGTTCGAAGATCAGAACGATGTCGTCTTCACATTCCAGATCAACAAGGTTTTCGTCTCAAGTTATTTGATCACCGAGGTTTTGAAGACCTTCCAGCGTTCGTCTCATTATCTCATCAATCACGAAATTAAGTAAGAATGGAGAGGTGGGCATCCCTGACGGACATCGCATTGTGTACAGAAGCTTTTGGGAAGCTCCCCATATACTGACATGTTCAGAAGTCTGAGAACACAAAGAACGTGTTATGTTTACAAACTTCCGGTACATTCCTTGATGGGCAAGCCTATCAAGGAGAACAGACTGGTCAACCCAGTCGAATGCGCCTTGGAAATCCAGGAATACTAAAATTGTGGGTCATTTGTGCGTATAGCGTTTTCCTAGCACCTGACGCAGTGTGAAGATTTGGAACACAACCTCTACCAGGCCGAATCCTACTGCTCTCGAGTCTATTTCACGAGCCACCATAAAGCGACGACGACAAGTGACTTCAACAGTCTCGTTACGACCGGGGTCAAGCTGGTCCCCCTGCGGTTACCACACTCACTACCAGCCACTTTTTCGGAAATGGGCATTATCACGGATTCTTCCCAGTTGTCTGCGACAGTCGCCATTTCCCATGTGCAGGAAAACAGGTCAAACCAGCGCTGACTGAGAGCTTCACTCACATCTCTGAACAATGCGAGTAGGATGTCATCCGGACCAGAAGCGCGATGGTGCTTGAAAATTGATTCCGAGCTGTCTGAGGATGTCAGCACTGAATGACGCGCATATATTGTTGCCTAAACCGATGCCGTACGCACAAATTCATCGGTCCTAACTGAAGGGCCTACATGAAGGGAGGATTATTAATGAAGTGCGAGGAGCGGGGAAGAAAAAGTATGTCCACTCAATGTCCACGTACTTTGATCATGAGCTGCCTTCGCTCCATGGCTCATTAGTCACTTGGTCTTGAAAGTATTCCGGTTTTTCATTGATACATCTTCAAAACCATTGCCTCAGCTGCCACCTGGCATAATGACGCGACGATATTTGCTTATTTCTGTAGGATGCGTGACGTGACCCCAGAACTTATAGAAATGCCTGAAAGCCTCAAAGAACATATGAATTGGGTGATGAAGACCAGATAACTACTTTCCCAACATCGGCTACATTACTTGATCGAGCTGAAGGTGAGCATGTACAATAGCCTCAAGGATCAGTCAAGGGATCAGGGTTCATAATTTAGATGGCAGTCCAAAGACACATATGCATATCAACCTGTAACATTATGCGGGAAACACAAGCAAAATGAAGAAGTATACTGTTTCATAGACGGAATGCACGTGAATGACAGAGTTGACAACTTCTGGTGTTTTTGTTCTTATTGAAGTGTTACCGATGTACTCTAAACGTTGGGGGCAAACGGAAGGCTATCAGAGGAAGTGAGTTATTTCAAGTGATGGATAAACAGATCAAAGAACTAATAAGCTAACCGTTCATCTGCAGCACCCTTTCGGTGCCTAGCTGCCCTGCCAACGGAAGGAAGAACGAGGGCTGGGATACTGTCAGGTTGCCCAAGTGTAGGTAAGAGCAGTCGAGATGCTGAGGCTAGGTTCGAACCACGAACCTTCCGGTCAGTTAACTGGCATCTTAACCACTGAGCTATCTAGAGCTCGAACAACAGAACGGAAGCTATTCGATGCACTACAGCTTACTATCTGGATGAACAGTGTGAAGAAGCCGCGGCCCCTTCATCGATGGGGGGAATAATATATGAGAGTAGCCCTAAACTGTAATGTGAAATCGGGTTTTGGGCATAATTGTCATATTTGACGTCAACCTATGGAGTAAGTGATTATGCACCAAACGGAAAAACCTGGGCACATAACCAGCACTGGGTGCACGATTGGACGCCAGAAGACGATTAACGCTGGGTATCCAATGACTGACCAAAGTTGCAACCCGCGCGGAGTGGACTAACGCCTGCAGTCACATATACCAGTTATCGAACAGAATGGATACGATCTGGTTAGATTTAAAGCTACCGACCATTAGATAGCTGAGCGCCTTAGAACTTACCGCCCCGAAGTGAAGTTGTAAAAATTATGAGTTCCTTTGAAACGTTTGAGTACCACATTCGCATGCGTCAGTGTAGTTGCGGAAACCCGAAAGGATCGATAAACCAAGTCATCGGTAGTGAAGTCCCGCGGAGCGAGCGCATACGTAGGAAGCAAATAATCGTAAACTCGGTGACTACAAGCAGTGTTTGCCGAGAAGCTTCGTGTTGCACGAATGGCATCTAAAAATGGTGAGAGTGGAGAAGTGTGAACAGGTGGCTGTTCCATTTTACATTACGAATCTGCACTTCACCTAACCATAGCGCAAACCGAATGCTGCAGGCCAAAGTAGTCAAAAAACGAGTGTGAGGCAATTTACTACATACCTAAGTAAAAAAAAGCACCAAGGGTTGGCTTTGGAAGCACAATGCGTCGGCAACTCGGGTAGTTCTCATCATCGGATCTTCATGATTAAATGAATAAGAAAATCAAAACAACAACCACTGGGAGCTAAGATTAGTCCACTGGTCAGGACCATTTGGCTAAACGAACGGCACTGCCAAGCTGAATGGCACTCCTCCTGTCGCAACTTATGGTAATCAGTAAAAGCTGTCAAAACAGTGGAGGCGATTGAATTCAAAGCACTGATATGTCCGAGAAATGGAGCACATTAAAAGCATTCAAGTATGAGTAGACAAAACCGCACTTCAAATTATTGCTTGATGTGCACTAAGCCGACTTGCCAGCTCTCCGTGTTGAACGTCAGAGGATGAAAGGAACTTTAGTCGTCTACTTTAACAAGCGACTCAAAGTGGACTGATAATCACTTAGAACCGGCATCTCAACACCGCCAAATGTGATCTCGGCTCAGAATGCCAGCGAAACAGGCTGCGATGGACAAAAAGGCTCGAAACTGAATAAACAAGAAAACGCCATCTGCCGTGACGGCTGATTGGTGGAAATGCAGACGGGACACGGAAAACAACAAAGAAATTGAAGGGTAAACGAGGCAAACAGAAACTTGGGAGTTGAAAAACTTACCTAAAATACGTATATGTTCGGGGAGGACAGAATTCAATTTCTCGGTGACGTTTTCATTTTCCGGGAGCTAAAAATAATTCATTAAGTAATTCCAACTAGAGTTACCAGCATTGAACAAACTTGGCCGATCGCCGAAACAGCTTTGTCGGTCTTTGAGGCGCGTTGAAACCACACCTGTTAGAAGAAAAGCAGTCATGTAATTACACCACCTGTAGCTGCTGTGGTGAATGAGAGGTTGTGGACTCAACCCTTAACTTTTTCCCTTGATATTGTCATGTGATGTGGATACTGTTTTCACGCCGATTTTATTCTTTCAGCTTTACATATCAGAAGGACCAACGCACAACTCTGTTTTGATAAAAAATACTATGAGAAGAGATGGACTTCCAGGTACAATTATAAGGGACCGAATTAGAATACACAAGGCGACGGTAACCAGAACAAATATGCGCGGTGGATGAATGACTCACGGTTCAAAGTTGACGCTGGTTAGGTCATGTATTCCACATGCAAAATACCATCTGCCTCGCAGAAAAAACCGCACTTCAAATTATTGCTTGATGTGCACTAAGCCGACTTGCCAGCTCTCCGTGTTGAACGTCAGAGGATGAAAGGAACTTTAGTCGTCTACTTTAACAAGCGACTCAAAGTGGACTGATAATCACTTAGAACCGGCATCTCAACACCGCCAAATGTGATCTCGGCTCAGAATGCCAGCGAAACAGGCTGCGATGGACAAAAAGGCTCGAAACTGAATAAACAAGAAAACGCCATCTGCCGTGACGGCTGATTGGTGGAAATGCAGACGGGACACGGAAAACAAAAAAGAAATTGAAGGGTAAGCGAGGCAAACAGAAACTTGGGGTTGAAAAACTTACCTAAAATACGTATATGTTCGGGGAGGACAGAATTCAATTTCTCGGTGACGTTTTCATTTTCCGGGAGCTAAAAATAATTCATTAAGTAATTCCAACTAGAGTTACCAGCATTGAACAAACTTGGCCGATCGCCGAAACAGCTTTGTCGGTCTTTGAGGCGCGTTGAAACCACACCTGTTAGAAGAAAAGCAGTCATGTAATTACACCACCTGTAGCTGCTGTGGTGAATGAGAGGTTGTGGACTCAACCCTTAACTTTTTCCCTTGATATTGTCATGTGATGTGGATACTGTTTTCACGCCGATTTTATTCTTTCAGCTTTACATATCAGAAGGACCAACGCACAACTCTGTTTTGATAAAAAATACTATGAGAAGAGATGGACTTCCAGGTACAATTATAAGGGACCGAATTAGAATACACAAGGCGACGGTAACCAGAACAAATATGCGCGGTGGATGAATGACTCACGGTTCAAAGTTGACGCTGGTTAGGTCATGTATTCCACATGCAAAATACCATCTGCCTCGCAGAACTCTTTTTGCGCGACCCTGTTCTGAACGAAAGTGACAGTGTATAACCTGGCAGCGAAGTATGAAAACCCTAACCAGCAAACTTAGTCAGGTCGACACCTGCCGCCTCTTTGGATAGGGGCCCCGGAACTCAACTGACAGATGTCTAATGACACTGGCAGAAACAGCTTAATCGCGCAGTCAGTGACGCCCAAGCATCAAACCTATGGCCTTCAATGCGCAGCTACCCAGTTCTCGAACTAGCCATATATGCCATTCGCTGCAAGGCTTGGATGTGTATATCCCAAACTGTACCGTTTTCGAGTGATCAAAACTGTAGCACCTGAAACCATTGTGCCTATGGCACACTGTTTACAGCTTATAGTGGTTTTGGTTGAGTTGTTGTCATTCAGGCCAATCTTAGTAGTGACTGTAGTTGCTCCAACGTAGCGATAGTAATATTGATAAAGACAGGCTGAGCTACAATTATTCGTTGATGTGTTATCTCAAATAAAACGAATGTGGATTTCCACAAATTAATGAATTATTCAGAATAACGAGTAAATTAAAAAAAGTCAAATAAGTACCTTCCTGTAAGCTTCCCCTGTGAAGTCTGCAAGGTAACCACACGCAAAAAGAGCTTTGGAAAGTTCGCCTTCGATGGTAGGGTGAGTGGGGGTCCTAAGGGAGGAAAGAGATGCAGACGTGGTAATTCATCAAAGCCAAACGTGCCAGATTAAGTGTAAAGTGACGTTACACAGTCCCATTACTAATCAGTGAATAAGAAAACCTCCATTCCGTTAGCATCAGTGCACAAATCAATAAGTGGAGTGTGGACCAGCAGCAACCACTAGAACTGAGAAAAGTAAACACCGTTGGTCTAGAAAGTGGGTTTACAGCTCTCTATACCATCGCGCATTTGGATGCTGACAATAACGAAGAAATCTCGAGGAGAATTTGGCAATGAAGTCCTTTGAATGTTAAACAGTAAAGGCTTTGCATATATTTTCGGCGAATCGCACTTATGACAGTCTGCAAGGCCTAGGTTGCGTCTGCTAATTTGTCAGAGTGGTGTATCCTGAATCTCAAGGGACGGTTGTATCAGGCTACAATGCGGGCTGTTTCGTTGTATAACCGCGAGACTTGGCCTGTTTCGTTCAGTGGAACTGAGCCGTCTTCAGGTGTCCGACAATCGTTGTCTCAGAACCATAGCTCGTGTTTTTGGTGTCAGAGAATCCGCAACGAGGCAATTAGAAAGCAAGTGTTCATTTGTGCAAAGATTACTACCATTGAAGAATGTATCCAGCACCAGAAGTTGTCGAACCGCCATTTGCCGAAGAGGGTACTGTTTTTGTGCCCAATTCAGAGTGGAGGGAGTAGAGGGGTTGACAATGGTTGACCAGACAGAGGGACACGAAAGATATCACGAAACGTTTGGGTGCTGTAGGTGTAACTCGCTTTCCAAAATAAAGACCACGCTTTCCCCACTGCGCCTGGTTGAGGGTACTTCAAGATATGGCTGCTAAGCGATTTCAATGGCGTTCACGTCAGTTTATATCAAGCTTGCCCGAATGAGCGGCCGAAGGTGTACGCACCAATGCGAGGTGTGTGCATCGAGCGAGATTATTCAGCGGTTAGAGCATGGACTGACTGACCGGAAGGTCAGGTGTTTGAATCCGACCTCTGTCTCTCGATTTCTCTGTTTAGGCTTGGACAACCTGGCAGTGTCCCAGCCCTCGTACTTCCTTCTGGTGGCATGGAAGTGAGGCACCGAAAGGGCGCTACAGCTGCTGTGCTTGCTGGAATGATTACAGTAAGCTAGCACTAATTCCCTTCCCCATCCAACTTTATTCTTCTATTATTATTAAGTATTCAAATAAATCGCTGCTGTACGGCAGCGAAGCATCAGTGATGAACACTGATATCATGTTGTCGGTGATGATGATGCACGCTCTACCTGCCAGACCTTTTAAACCTTGCCGGCATCTCCTAATATGTTGATCTAAGTCCTTAAAGTCGGATGTCAGATATCCTGTTGCTCTCGGTTTCCTCTAACCTAGTCGACCTCTGCCAAATAGTTTGCTTCGTTCAAGCAAGCAGATTGAATTTCTCTCCGTGAAGGTCCAAAGGCAGATTGTTTCTCCGTTGCAGTGCCCCTACCTCCGATCGAACTTTTAGTGCCCACAGATGAGTGCCACAGTTGATGCAGCCAGTTAGGCATACCTTAAGCCACGGGTTCTTCCTAAAAGAAATTGTAAACTAAATATGTTTATATGAGTTCGGTCTGAGTCACTTTTAGCATTTTCGACGGCCTACTGCTCTCGTGTACCGCACTAAAGAACCGTGTTGGGCGCATATCTGCTGCGGTGCGATAGGGGCCTTTTTAGCCGGCACCTAACTTGACATCTCAAATACGTGGAACGCCTAAGGGACAGGCTCGGTAGCAGACATGAAAATAAAACAAGTTGGACCAGAACATCCAGCAGGTACATCTGGACGATGAGTCCCTGTGAAAGCAGTACTAGTCGCATGATTAAACTTCTTTTCATGGACTCTGGTATCGTAGACACAAGCAAGTTCTGGGCCATAAAAATGGAGTCCCACGCTGCATCCAAGCAGTCGAGGGGTGGCACTATCAAGACGAAGAAGCGCGTGAGTGGCTGACCTCTAGCGGTATTGAACATGTAATGGAGATTAACACCGAAGTTCTCGACCTGTAAGTGGAAATTTGATTTTTCTAGAATGATGTAAGGTTGTACGACATGAGACGGCTTTCACTAATAGTCTACCTCAGTTGTTCAGGATTTTAAAAAAGTTTTCACAAACAGCGGTCCAAATTCGGGCACCTACCGAAAGAGACAAAGGGCACATGTGCATGAGTGGAAGCCTGAATAATATTGCAAAATCAAAAATCCCCCTGAAAAATCTTAGTGACAATTACCTTTGCATACCGTAGTACCCCCATCCACAGTACATCATAAGGATCGCATGTACCTTCTTTTTAACGGGGGGGTCTCCATCAACTGCAGCCAGTTTGGTCGACCCAAGTAGGCTCTCGTCTTCCGGAGCAGGACGTTTCAAAACACGGTTTTTGTTCAACATTGAAATGAATAGGTCGCGCAGAGAGTGACAAATAAGGAAGAGGCGGCGGCGCATAAAACGGCGTGGGCGCGTCACAGAGGGGTGTCAGTGGACGAAAAACTGGTCCTTAATAACGCAGGCCAAGTTCCTTCTCACGTTTTTCCTTCCGAAGAAGAGCCTCAGCGTATTCTTTCTGCTGTCTCGTTAACGCCGGTTTCTCATAAATATAGAATTTCCCCACGCGGTAGAGAGTATATGCTGTAGCGCCAGCAGTAAGGCAGATGCTAAAAATTATAGATCCACGGAAAGCGAGGTCAACGACACGTCGAAATTTGCTTGGTTTGTAAATCTTCCCTTCCATGGAGTCAACCCCCGTAAACAGTAAGACCTGCAAGGTCACGGAGCAGGCGCAGAGAACGGCATAAAACCAAACAACCGCCAAGTTTCATTGGTTGGGACATCGGTCACTGGCTCCTGTGACCTTGAAGCGCACGCTAATTCGGCAGGACGAATGATCACCTTTCACGGGGTTTTTGCCAAAACATTCTCAAACACCCAAGGTCACTCAAGGCCGGTATTTTTCTCAGTTTTACTTCGGGTCAACTTGTTTCGTTATTGAACTATCTGCACCTCATACCTCATTGTTCTGGCTTTTTTCCACAATCCCCGACTGCTTAGCGCGTGATAAGCGTATCTCCTCGGTTTTATCTACCAAACTGTTATATTTTTGCCCGCTGCGCTCAAGTTGTAAATTCCTGATCATGCCTCAATCGGTATGTTGCCTACAGTTATTTTCGCAGATTCACGGATTGATACACAGGATCCCGGGTAAGAGTGGAGCTTTTGGCCAGGCGGAAAGTGTGGGGTTCGATCGAACACTTTCGAAAGGTCCAAAAATATCGCATCCGTTATGAGCCCCCTCCTCAGCTGTCCAAAATACGAGCATGTTCGTCCAATATAAACGGCTCGGGTAGAATCAGTGTTGAACTGGGGACAGCAAGTTGTTGGTAGTATAATGAGCCAGGATGACCCGCTTCAGAAAACGTTCCATTGCCTTGCATGGTGTGCTGTTGGGGCTAATAGGCCTGTGACCGCCGGGCGATGATCGGTCACCAGTTTTGTAGAGCGGCGTGACAATATAGCTTATTTCCAAGCAGAGGGAAGGTTACCTTCATCGAGTGACTGAGGGAACACCAGATAGAAATGTTTCGCTGATGTGTGCGGAGTGCCATGCGGGATCCATGGATGGACCTCCTCTAGCTCAACGCGCAGAACGGGTTCGTCTTGCGCAAGAGTTTACGAATGGCCATTCGCGAGGAGCAACCTGCTAAGAGGCGTTTGCTTTTCCAAGACAACGAGACTGGGTGTGACGAGATCTCCGGGACAGAATACCGACTTTTATGTTGTTCTCTTCAGAACTCAGGCACCACTATTTGGCCACTCGTGGTTTTCTTGTTCCTGTCCCTCAAGAAAAACGCAGTTGGCTCATTTATGCAACGATGCCTCATGTACCTGAACTGACCAATTTTGTTTTTACGAGTGAGGTTGTAGCTATCCCTTCACCCATATATTTGACTGTTCAACTCACAGTCACTCACTGGATCACGAGACGTCTTTTTCCTACATTTACAAACCACGTCAAACAGTGCTGACTCATCTGACATTGATGGTCTACACCGTCTAATAAGTGCAGCAACAGGTCATGTGCTGGCACACCCATATAAGCGTAAATGCATCTACATATAGCAAACCCGAACACAGCGAACACACAGACTTGCGCGCGCAGGGAACAGGAAGCCGAGCACTCTCCGCAAGTCCACGGACTATTACGGATCACTTCTGGCAGCTTTACCGCGGAGAAGAAAAGTTCCTGCCATCGGGACCCTGACCAAAGTGCTCTCACAATTAGTACATTCCCCCTTTGACTTGCTCCATATTGCAACACACGGTATCAACCATTGCGAAAACTTTTATTAGTGCACTTGATTTCTGAATCATAGTATGACTACCATAACCTGAGCACCAATAAGGTCTAATATGGTGGCATGTTTTCGTGTGCCAATTGGAGGATCTTTGAGTTACACTGGTTCTGCAATTCACGAAACTTTGGCTCGTCTTCCGTGTCTCTTGTCGTCAACCCTTTGGAAAATAGTGGAGACCTCTTTTCCAGAAGAGACCGAATCCCTTAGGAAGCTCGCGGTTTGCTCGACTGCGTGCTTTTTTCGGAATGAAGATTGCGTCAGTGTCATGGACTTTCTGCGCAGCGGACATGCGTAAGTCTTTCACCGAAACTGGTCACAGTTTGAATTAATCAAGTGAGATGCAACTTCCTGAGAGGTCTGCACGGTAGCAGTAGTAGTAGTGACACAACGCGCATACTGTACTCGGCCTTCAACGTAGAGCTGCACAATGATGACGTGTAAAGCATGCGGAAATGGTGGAGGTTTTTTGTAACCTTTTCATTTTTGGTGTAGACCGCAATAGCGCCGTTTTGTCTTCCCCCTTATACACTCTTTTTAACAACTGTCTTGCCCGCGCCTGCGTCCTCCTTTTAACCGCCTCCCATCAAGCGGTGATTCCGTTCTGGGTTTTACGTCGTTATTGTGTACACTATACATTTTTGCTGTTCACCGTGGTAATTTCGTGATCTACGACTTTCCTTTTTGCGCATTCCTTTCACTATTTAATGTCCCTTGACAAATGTGATTAAATTCGTGCTCCGGCGGACCGAAGTTACCGGACCATATTATCGTTGTCGGAGCTGCGTTTCTGAAGATCTTTCCGTGTTTGGCACGCACCCTCAGTTTTCCTAGCTCCTTTCAGTTCTTGAACTCCCCGGGAATACGCATTCCCTCCCAACTAAACAGACCACATCTCATTTTTCTCCTCAACGCTGTTTCCGTTTTTTAAAAGTTGGGTGATTTACCGTGGTGTAACCCAAGCGAGTATAAACTATGGTTTTGATGTACGTCATTTTCACTCCCATCGAGAAGATTGCCAGTTCGCCTGTACAGACCTGGTGACCCTGAGCGGCCTGCTGTTACTCTCTCGCCAACGTAAGCGTACTAGTTTTATCACCTATATTTCAAGTGTTATATCTGCATATTCGCCAATCTGGGGTATCCGCTGCTGACCCGCTCCAGTGCCTAGTGTCGGGGAGAAAAAGACTCACGGAAGGGAACAAAATAGCTATATTCCAGCAAAGCAGGCGCGAAAGCGTGAGTGCGTGTGAGTGCGAATGTACAGCGGTCTCAAGCATTGGATGGAAGTGCGAATGTACAGCGGTCTCAAGCCATTTATTGGATGGACACTGTCTGAACTCGGTCCAGTGCTGACGCACACGGTTTGGCTGCGACGTGTTGCCTATTGCCAAGTGCCGCTGAAAGTAAATGCATGGTTGACCGCATTGTCTTGGATTTTAGAAAACCCTTAAAACGAACTAACAGTTGTGGCTGTGGTTTGTTGGTAAAGCTTTAGCATTTTTGGTCAAACACTCAACTTGATTGCCTCATTCGGAAGCGGTCAGTACTCCAGAATGACTATCTGCGAGGCATCTCCGTATCTCGCACCACAATCCTGATCCCTTAAGGAGAGGAAATTTAGCATTCTCTATTCTTCTTGGACAACAAGCCCTCATCTGTTTTTGGCTCCATTTTATCAATGGGCGAAATTTACGGTTTAGGACCCCCTGCTTAACACATTATACACAGTACGTACAAAGCCGCATTTTTTTCAAACGGAAAGCGTGGACGGCTCGCTCACTTTATTCGTATTCCGCAGAGCCAAAATTTACCCGCTGTTGGTCACTGAAAAGCCCGTGAACTGTAGAATCGGCCAAACGTTACCAATTCTTTCTTGTCATGTCTTTATTCAAAAAACGTCTCAGGATGAGAGTCTGGATAGTACAACCCCCGTAGGTCAATGCAACATTGCTGTAGTGCATTCCTGCAATATCCAACTCAGTGGGTCCCTCCTGGTTTCTCTAAACGAAAAGTGATAAAAGTATGTAAGATTGTGCAGTAAATGGCGGCGAATTCAGTATTCTTTCTCTGTAAGCTATCCTAACTAGGGAGACCGCCGCGCCCCAACCTGTGCTCACACATGCATTGGTGCCTTCTGTACGCAAAATAAGCTAAAAACCAGTATCATGACCATTTCCTTACACGCTTTCCCATAAGCTGTACTCACCCGTGCAAGCTCAATCTTTGGAGGTCATGCAAAAATTATCTACTGGAGGCAACGAATAAGGTTGAGAAAGGAATATCCGAATACATTTCTACCTCTCTTGTCGAAGGTTTAAATGGTCCATCTTCAACCCTAACCCTCCATCGAATAACATAAAAGCTAGCTAGCTGTCCCCATTGGTGCTTGCACGCCATTACGCGTGCACATACGGCTACACTCACCGTCCTGACGGGATTTATTTTTACACATCTCTGTGAGTACATCTTATACGCAGTAAATTTTTTATTAAGACTGTAATATGCACGCTATGGGAGCACCAGCGGACAGTGATTCTCCGAAGGCAGGTGCTCACGACAATTTCTGTGGATGAAAAACAGAAATAAAGCTCATGAGCCAAGGCCCAGTAAGCAAGGTTGTATATCAATACTTACATATAAATCAATCAAACTGACAGACGCCGTATGCTACACTGGCCTTCTTTTTGAAGAACACCGTCCCCGGTGTACCATGGCCTACGTGAACCGGCCGCTGCTAGTGGTGTGGTGCGTTGAGCTGGCGAGCGTGTGCAGGGGTTGCTGTATCTGGGACTGCGTCTACCGTATGTGAGTGAGCAACGCGCTAGCTCTGAGGCATGTATGCACATATGTAGAGCCAGGATCTTTGTGGTGGGTCTACGCTGTGTGCGGTAACCATCCTGCTGTGGTCGCCAATTATGTAATATGCACGCTATGGAAGCACCAGCGGACAGTGATTCTCCGAAGGCAGGTGCTCACGACAATTTCTGTGGATGAAAAACAGAAATAAAGCTCATGAGCCAAGGCCCAGTAAGCAAGGTTGTACATCAATACTTACATATAAATCAATCAAACTGACAGACGCCGTATACTACAAGGCTTTCGTGCAGCAACGACTTCTGTATCTCAACAAGCTATTAAAAAATTCATCAAAATGTTTACAGAAAGTTCAGTGTCCCTACCCCAGGCTGGTCTGTAGACTGCTGCACAAAACCCAACTTTCATGCCGAGCAACTGCGGCCTGACAGTCAGGCTTTTGACCGAATTCCTTAAAATGACATAACTGTCTCTATGTCCGGGTTAAAGATTCCTGGGGTTAACCACACCCCCATGCATCCATAAGCTTTATGAATAAGTGTTTTCACGTCATATAAACCGTCATTTGGCGGCACCAACCTGGTCGTTTCGCTTGTCGCATAAGACAAGGCTGCTTAGCGAAAAAAACTGTCAGCCGAAGTGATAAATATTCCTTCGTTTATATTCCTCACCCCACCCTGCGAACCCACTTGTAGATTCCGCATACAAACAATTAATTCAGAGACTGTGCAACTGGCAAAATTTGCGCGAGCTTGTCCGCAATTGAAGCACAGCTTTCTTTTCTCATTGCAGTATTTAAGGCAAGAGTTCTTCGGCAATCAGAATAGCAAGCTGCTCTTGAGCCCTTGCTAAATACATGTCGGTGGTTTTCACGCAAGAATCGCGCTTCCCAGGCAGCGAGAGGAATATCTCCTGAAAAGCAAATCAGGAAAACGTACAATAGTCTACCATGCATTGCACTTGGTTCCCTTGGAGGACGGTCTCCATCTTAGATATAAAGAATGTGGGTATAAGTGAAGCCAAAACTATGCCCGTATCATTTCGTGGCAAGCCCAATAGAGCTAGTGAAAAGTAGAACCGTCGTGCGACGATGCAACGTATATGCAGCTGCGGACGAACGGATGCCCTTTTGGTACGTCCATGAAAAACAATTAAATGAGCCCAGCAAAAATAGTGGAGATAGTGTCCGTGCCCAGGCACGGTGTCCGGGAATCTCTGTGAAGTCTTCTCAAAAACAGTTACGTTGACCCTGATTTGGGTATGTTTAACATTTGGTTCGCATATTATTAGGCCCTCCGGTTTTGAACCAACACAAAATATCTGGAACAAAATTTCGCCCTCAGCGGTATTTACGGACAGGGGCGAAACTCTGCTTTCTACCTTTACCTGGTTGTGGGCACGTACACTGTGGTATGCATTTCATAAACCCTCCCAAAATCTTTATTTCTCAGCTTGTCAGGGCATGGCCTCTTGGCCTTTCCGCTTTGCGAGGCCCTTCTTCGGTTCTTGGGCGGCAAGCCAGAGAGCGTCAGACAGGATTTCTAAGCAGCTGGCGTTGCATCAACCACGCCTTTCCACCACCACATGTACCACGGGCCAACAGCTGCAGTTTCTTTTGAATTTTCCGAAGTTATCGTATCTGTGAATGAGTTGTCTCTCCAAGATTATCCTGGGTGGCCGGATGCACATGACAGTCAAACTGCGTAATGGTCCGCTCTTCTCAGAAGTCCGGTGAACTCATTGCACAAAGTGAACTGCCCAGAAAGTCCATCACCTCTAGGAGGGTTCTTCAGGATTGACCTCTCCGCTTTTCGTCCAGTTTTTTGTTGGTGGCGCAATCCGTGTCATTTGTTGCCATATCTAGGAGACCGTGAATCCGCCTATCAAAATCATGCCTCGAGGGAGATTAATAAATTTGGGTTGTGCAAGCGACAGCTTTTTTGCGTGGCAATAGTCAGGGCGCGCAAAGTGTTCAAAATGCAGCAGTAGAGACGTTCTCTTGTTTCGGTGTGCACTTTTAGCCTTAGGAGCATACCATATTTGCTCAACAGTCCTCACATGCTCGTGCTTCTCTGAAGCGTCAGAAACGAAAAACGGATTTAGTTGCTAGGTTTGTATGCGCTGGCAGCCACGTAAGCTGTCTGCAACATACCACGTGTGGCCCGCGTGCAGGGATTATTTTTTTCAAACTGTCATTCAGGATATTGCTGGCCAAGTTCGCTTAGTCCAGAAGGTGGTGTTTGCGAAGCACCTGTGAGAGTGACTCTACTTTGTTTTCGAGGAAATTCCATTCCATCCTTTAATCATTTTCCCACAGAACTACAAACGGCGTGACGGACCGCAATGTGAAAGTAAAGGAATGATCAGCAAATGGGTATTTCGTAGCGAGTTCACATCGACATAGTGGCTCAGTAAACTCACATTGTTATGATACTTGGGGTCTGCCCACCCACCCAGGGATATCGACAGCAAAGGTGATTCTTGGTTAAAAGTTCATGGAAGAAGGGTTAAGATACAGCAGCGTTAAAATAAGCGGCTACAGTCAGTTGAATTTTCAAAATCTTTTTGTCCTTCTGGTTGGACGTCGCACTCACCTGCACGTGGCTGTTGAACATGCAGGACGTGGCATGAAGATACTAAGGGTGGAGCAAAGGCGGCAAGTCCCCGACCGAGCTGTCTTGCTGAATTTCAGCCGTAGTCTTGCGTTGAGCCCATGCTGAATAAGGTTTGCAAAGGTTGAATAAGGTCCTCAATCCCGTTGAGGACGCCCCAGTTCGGAACGATTACTGATGTACCCAAGTGTGGGTGTTTCATTCTCGACGGCTTCGCTTCTTTGCGACAAGTTCCCATTGTTTTATTTCGTTTACACTTTTTGTTATGGCACACGTTCCTTTTTATTGGCAGTTAAGTGCTAGTAGGTGTTTCTGGGCATTTTTGCTATTGTTCATATGCTCTCTTTATGGTAACTTTGATGTATCTGAATGTGTACTCATTCGCAATTGCTTCTAATTCCTTCCTCCATTAGTACAGTGGAACCGGTGCGGACGTTTCCTTTTCAGCCGCTAACTTAACCCGAGTCCAGAAGCAGGGCCTGTCTTCACGAGACGCGTTTCGTGGTCCACGGATTTGAGGTCGGCAACAATTCTCGTGGCGGCCGCTGGACACGCTCAAGGAGGGTGACGTCTTTCGTGCGACCTGAGTAGACAACTTGGTTGGCGTACTCCAAGAGTGGTCTGAAGTAGGCTACATAGAGTATTTGGAAGTCCATGAGAGTAATACGGGAGAAGGTGCGTCGGATCATCCGTAAAATGGCGAATGCCTTATGGGCCGATTTTACATGATGCAGTGAGGACAAGTTTGAGGAAAACCAGATCCCCAAATACTTTTTGGCATCTATCCTCAGGATGTTTTTGGTCCTTTCTCACCATGCATAAGAACGGAACAGAAAACATCATGAGGGTAGATGCCAAAAAGGATTTGAGCATCTGGGTCTCCTCAAACTTGTCCTTCTCACTGCATCATGTAAAATCGGCCCATAAGGCATTCGCCATTTTACGGATGATCCGACGCACCTTCTCCCGTATTACTCTCATGGACTTCCAAATACTCTATGTAGCCTACTTCAGACCACTCTTGGAGTACGCCAACCAAGTTGTCTACTCAGGTCGCACGAAAGACGTCACCCTCCTTGAGCGTGTCCAGCGGCCGCCACGAGAATTGTTGCCGACCTCAAATCCGTGGACCACGAAACGCGTCTCGTGAAGACAGGCCCTGCTTCTGGACTCGGGTTAAGTTAGCGGCTGAAAAGGAAACGCCCCCCTGTTTGAACAAACCTTGGCAAACAGGTTTTTTACCGTTGACCCAGGAAACACCCGGCGGGGGCATAGTAAGATAATTTTCAAGCTTAGAGCACACACATTCATTAAACAAATTTTTTTCTAATTTCGGGTAGTGGGTGCGTGGAATGACCTTCCTCCGGCGGTTGTTCACGCACTTTCTAGAACGCAGTTCAAAGCACTATTAGACATTTATTCATGCGAATCCTCGCGCTGTCAAGCATACTACTCCGCGCTGAGAATATAAAGAGCAGTGCTCCACTCTTTTTCCGGTTGTGCCTTTCAGGTGAACGACAGCCACTGACCGACAAGAACAAAACCGACCCGGGAAACTTGGGCAAAAGCCTGGATCCTGTGTATCCATCCGTGAATCCGTGACTCCGTGAATCCACATCGTGCCTAATTCACTTCACTGTGTCTTTGCCAATAGCTGGGCAGTCTGCCTGATATATGGAATTGTGGCCCATTGACCATACTATCTAACTGACAGTATGCGATAAGTGCGTAGTTTTCGAACGGTGATGGGGCTCACAAGAGACTACCTCTTTCACCTTTCCATGTTGGCCACCTGTCCAGTTGAACTTAATAGTTTGTTCTAACCTACTAATACCATTGGCGGTCACTTAGTAAGGTTTCGTTTCCCGGCCACGCTGCCCTCTACCATGGTGAGTTTCCCTGTGGTCTGTAATTGTGTAGCTTTCCAGGGGTTAAATCTGTTGTAAGACAGCTCAAAAGCTTCCCACGAAGTACTGAGAGATGAACAGTGGCTAGGGTGTCCAATTTATGTCACATGGATAGGGGACTGATAGCCCGATGGCTTACTGGTACAGCGGCGATGATGACGGCTTGTTATGGACATAGTTGCTTGCGAGATAGCACAAACCGCCTGGTGTTTCGTCTTTTCACCTACTGGTTCATATGACTCGTATCTGCGCAAAACTATGTCGCCGAACTCCCAAACCTGAATTTTCCGTGTGATGGGGCTTTTAGTTGTCCGCCCCGGAACTGCGCACAAGGGTTTTCTGCTCCTAATGGATATAAAATCAGGGGACTGCTTATGTGGGAGCGCATTGTAACATAGGAGAGAGATGGATTCAGTGCGATAGTTTGCGCAAGTACGCATTCGTGCGTGGCTAAAGATTTCATTCTAACATGGATCTTCTAGGCACTGCTTGTGTGTAATTTCATTAGGTATGCTTTGTTCTCTAATTACGTCTTCCGTCGTTTGCACCAATCGCTTCATTGCAGTCCGGTTGAATTGAGGCTAACATGACCCAATGTGCGGTGAAAACAGGAGCTATATGATAGTTGAGTCCCAGCGTTTGTGGACGTATGTACTGCGCCAACTGTTGGCGCATCTAGAGATCCCATGGTGGCACCTTATTTCTTTCGTTATCCCAAAAACTCTTGCGCGCTGGCTTTTCGTTTTAGGTCTTTGCGGAAGCAACGTTTATACAGGGTCATTCACAGTATTTGGTACATACACCAGAGTCCGTAAACGTGTCCCATATGGACAGGTCATTTTTGGTCGCCAACTTCTTGAGGTTTATGAACTATTTTAGCTGTCGCACCCTTTTGACACCTAACTGGCATGTCACCAAAAGGATGCACGAGGGCTGGGATACTGCCAGGTTGCCCAAGCCTAGACAGGGAAGTCGAGGGGTCCAGGTCAGGTTCGAACCTCGGACCTTCCGGTCGGTAAATTCGCGCTCTGACCACAGCCATCTCGCCATTTCGCGGACTGAATATGAATTGGTAACAGTCCATGTGGATTTGTATAGATCACAACTCAAGCCGTTCGTTCAGTTGGACCGAACTGTAAGGAAGTTTGTGTGGTGTTCCTACCGATTCAGGACCTCCCGGACTTGGGTGTGCATGTGTTAAAATTGTCCTCATGGCACTGGGGTATTCTGCTGGAACGCCGTTTGAGCAACCAGCACAATCCAGGACTGTAGCGACTCATCCCATCAAATGGCCCGTATTCCTGTAGGCTTTTATTCTTTCCGCCATCCACCGGGGTCGCTTGACTGTAAACTCCGTCATCTGACCGATCTACGGCTGCCAAGTATCGGCGTCGGACACGTGTATGTTGTTGATGCTCTTGTACTCATCTTACCGTCATCGGAGCTCAATGTGATTGATGGGCGAACGGGTGTTGGTTTAGTCTAGTTTAGTCGTAGCGCCTCCCATTTGTTATAGTGAAGCGGTTCGGATGTTACAGCGAAATTTTGCAGCATTCTTCTACTACAATTTAAGGTAGCAACGCTTTTGGGATGCTGGAGGAATCATGTGAGAATGGGACCTGAGAAGTAACGAAGACAGTCATGTCCGTAATAGATGTGGCTTCTATCGTCTGTAACCGGTATCACATATCGTCGTGTCTAAATTGACGCTGGTTTCCGCGGGTGCAGTGAAGGTCTACCAAAGCCTCCATTGCAGAACTCCATTAACACCAGTTATGGCTCCTGACGTGTAGCTACCCACATGGGTTTTTCTAGGTGACGTATGTCCTACAATTGTCAACAGATTACGTGGCTCTATGATGATAATTAGAGATTTTGTGTCCAAGTTTGTTTTTCGCGGGTCTGCAACTAGCCTGACGATTGTGACTTGCCATTCCAGAAGGAGCCTGGGATAGCCCTGTTGAAGACTCGAACATGCGGACCAGCGGGTCTTTAGTTCGAACACACCCGCGGTGTCTCTGTTATGTTCTCTAATAATCAGTCAATCAACCTTGTCAGTTACACACAAAATTGAGAAGACAAAAAGCCTTGAGGAATTTATACTGCAGCAGCTGAACAGCCAATATCGAGATTCGAAGAATCCAGAATGTAATTGAATAAAACAGTCCAATGAAAGGCTGAAATAGAGAGAGAGAAATGTTGAGCAATATGTTCGTTAGGAGTGCCTCCTAACACCTCCCCTTTGAAGTCATTGTTCGTACGACTGGAGCTGTGGTTTCAGTTGTATTCGTATGACAGGCTTTCTGATCCGATCGGTCCATTTTCTGGGTGTACAATTTTTGGAAATTTCTGGTTCATTCATCGGCTCTGGAGATTTTGGCTGTTGAGCTAACTCAAATGTGTCGAGAAGAGTCTCCAGTGGAAGAACAGGGTCAAAAGTAGCTGCCGCTGGAAGATAGCAAGCGCGTAGCTGATTGGCATGACGGACCCAGATAGAGGAGCCTACATTTACCTCAGACAACTCTTCCGGCACGGCGCACAATTATGCCTTGTGTCCACTTTTCCGCGCCACCACGATAGTCTTTCGCTAGCACAGATTGGCCGGGTATAAATATGTTCTTTGCAGCACCGTGATGTCGGTTGAACTGAACTTCCATATTTATGTTTCTACCGGTTGGCGAATGTGGTGTTGGACGGATGACGTCAACGGGTAAGCGGACCTTCCGGTTCATAATTACCTCCGCCGGGGACTTATCATGTGGAGCGAACATTTGGTGTCGCCCTGTAACTCAGCAGAAATGTCTCGATGATTTCCGGGGTGGTTCCCTCCCCTTTGAGTTTTTGGAGTGCGCGTTTGAAAGTGTTCACGAGTCTTTCCACTTGGTCATTTGATTGTGGATGAAATGGTGGTGATCGCACGTGTTGTATGGGATTTTCTTGACAGAAATCGGAAAATTTAGCGGAAGTGAGTTCGCTGCCGTTGTCGGAAACAATGATATTTGGAACTCCGAAGTGACTAAACACATGTAGTTTTGAAATGGTAGCCTCAGCAGTAATATGGTTCATGCTGAACACTTCTGGCCATTTGCTATAAGCATCTACTAGGATGAGATATTGTTGGCCGTTAATTGGTCCCGCAAAATCAACATGAATTCGTGACCATGGAAGTTCTGGGACAGGTCATGAACATAATTCTGTTTTTCGAGAGGATTTCGCAGATAGTTGGCATTTGGAGCACTTGCGTACAAGTTCTAACTGCTTATCCATGCTCGGTCAGTAGACGTAGCTACGTGTTAGCGCCTTCAAGCGGTTGATACCGGGATGTCCAAAATGAAATTGTTTGAGGACCACTCCGTAATTCCGGGGGCATAATTACTCGTTCTGCAAAGAGTAAACAACCATCAACCTCGGGAAGTGAGGATCGACGTTGGTAGAACGGTTGAAGTTGTTTATCGGAACATACCGTAGGCCATTGTGTGCGGTGAAAATGGAGTACATTTTGAAGTAACGGATCACGAGCAGTGGCGTCGCGAACCATGGCGGAAGTAACTGGGAGTGCACGGATTGTAGTAGCAAGCATTGCGTTAACTTCCGGTTCCACCGTTATCGAGGCAACAACAGCATCCTCGGTTTGTT